TGCCAAGTGGTGACACTGCTCTGCATTCTGCAGCGTGGCTTGGCAATCTGGAGGTGGTTCGATTGTTGGTCGAGGCTGGAGCTGACAAGGATGCTGCAAGTGCAGATGGTGCGACACCATTGATTTGCGCCGCTGAGAATGGCCACTTGGAAGTGGTTCGATGCTTGGTAAAGGCTGGTGCCGACATCAACGCAGCAATGGCAGCTGGTGAGAAAGGAAACTGGGAAGTGGTCCAAGTTCCGGTTGAGCCTGGCGCTGACAAGAAAGCTTTTGACGCAATTGGCCTGACAGCTTTGCATTTAGCAGCTGGGAACGGCGACTTGGAAGTGGTGCGATTGTTAGTTAGGGCTGGAGCTGATAAGAAGGCTGCCATGCCAAGTGGTGATACAGCTTTGCATTGTGCAGCTAGGCAGGGCCACTCAGAAGTGATGCGCTTTCTAGCTGAGGCTGGTGATGAGATGAAGGCAAATGACGTCAAATGCTTAAAGCACACAGCTCTGTGAAAGTCTACAGTGGTCGAAAAAGACCCCACTGTAGGTGCTGCTCATCCAGGGTTTGACAACCTTCCCCAAGCGAAAACAGTCTGTGGGTCCCAGGCTCTTGCAGTTGCTTTGCAGAACCTCAACATCAAAAAGGTGACTATCTGATATCTACATAAACCTGGGTGGGTGAACACAGTCGGAAGGTCAACAGGCTAAAAGATTAGAATCTGAGAAGAAAGGATGCTTTCTATGGCGTTCACCAGAGCAAGACTCTTTTGGGGGTTGTGAATGTGATAGAAAGTAAATAAAGAACAAGTGCGTTACAGCCTGAAAGATAGAATTGCAACTGTTTCAAGGAAGATAACGCACAGATCTCTTGGTAAAGATCATTGAAGATCTCTTCCTGCAGATCCACCTCACAGGTCAAAAGAGACGAAGTTGTAGATTTGCAAGTTGAGTCAGCGTCAGGCAGCAGCAAGAGCGCCAACAAGCCAAGAGCGATTTGCTCATTGGAGACTTTGAGGAGCAGCCAATGGTGCCACGGTGTCCTGTGCTGTGCGGGGTACCTGGAGAATGGAGTGCCCCGGAGAGTGTCCGGAGAGTGCGGGCATCTTTCTTCCAGTTGGAATTGAACATTAAGAGCGATGGCCTCCACCCTACTAGCGATAGCCTCTAACCTATCGTGGAGTAGCTTTGAGCTATGTTTTTGTGTAGGCGGATGCTGATGGCAGCCTCTTCTTGACCTCAGAATCACACGAATGCACCAATGCCGAAGGGTTCTCGTTGATTGCCAGCGGGCCAGCTGCAGTAAAGAAAGGAAAAAGAAAGGAAAGGTCTAAAAGTGATGTTTTCCCATGGCCATCGCTAGTTGGTTGGAAGCATTCGCTTCCAGGTTGGAGGCCGTCGGTAGTAGGAACCAAATCGACAGTGCAAAAGGTGTTTCAAACAAGCTCCGTTGAAGAACTTGGGTTTTCTGCTTTTTCAGCATCCAGTAGCTACAGCTTTTCAGCACCCTTGGTAGCTGCTTTTCAGCTGCTTCTTCAGCTTCCTTTTTCTGACCGTCCTTCTTCTTGCCACTTCTGATACATCTTCTCCCTTCGACCTCTTCACGGTCTACACCTCCCGAAAATCATAGGAAAAAGCATCTTCCCACCTCATAGCACCTCAATCTCCATTGCAAACACTTTGTGCCGCCGCAGCTGCGTTTCTTCTAAACTTAGTCGGTTGATGTTTTTCTTGCTGTACTTTGTTCCGCTATTGCTCCTTGCTTTGCTTTTCATGTTTTGTGCATGTGTGTCGTTTCCGGCTTTCATTGGCCTTTTGTGTCTTCCTTGTTGCCTTCTTTATTCTTTGTTTTGCGAGGAAGAGGATGACTTCAAGGATCCCTGGCTCGAGCCTGACAAGCCCAAGAAGGGTAAGGGCAAAGGGAAACGCCGTGAAGAGGAGGCCGAGCAGCCGGGAAGCTTGGAGTTCTTGGCTTTGGAGCGGAACCACCAATTCGTCAACTTAGCCTGATGGCCTCCAACCTAATAGCCACGGCCTCCAACCTACTAGCGATGGCCTCCATCCCAATAGAGATGGCCTCCAACCTAATAGCAAACTATATTAAACCGTTCTTTCTACTTGCAAGAGCTACAAACAGGGCAGTCTCCTCTTCGTGCCCACCAAGTTTATGGAGGTGATAGGTTGCTCCAAGCGGACTGAGTCTTTCGTAAAGGCTCCAGTTTGTCAGGTGGGTGGCAGTACAAATTGACGGACCAAATCAACTGAGCAGTTCGCGCTTGTTTTGCTCAAAACAACGCTTCGGGGGTTCCCAGCCATTCACAAGATGCTGGTGGTTTTCGGACGATCGTATTTGGGAGGGCAAACCTGTTCCATCCCTCAAGAGTGTTTAGGCTTTAGAATCCGACCTGAAGCCTTTCCCTAACGCAGAATGAAACGCACCGGCAAAAAGAGAGCCCCCTTTTAACGCTGTCCCCCAACAGAACGGCACAAAAGGGAGCCAAGTCGAAACACTAGTAGCAAGGTGAATCGCCATTAGTAACAAGTGCATCCCTACTAATTAGTAACAATGGCATTACTTCTAGTAGCTAGAAGCTACTAGGAACAAGGGCATCTCTACTAGGAGCAAGAAGCTACTAGTAGCTCACTGCTTTTTGCCAATCTGCGACCGACGTGTTCGTTTCGATCAAGGTCCAAGTCGGCGGACCCCGCGGACACCGTGGCGCAGGCTGCCAAGGTGGCGGCCAAGATGCAGGCGCCGCACAAGTGGCACGAGCGGCCAAAGCACAAGTTTGTTGCGTCCTTGCTCCCAGCGATGCTAGCGTCCTTGTTCCTAGTAGTAAGGCGCCCAATCACTTTATTTGACAAATCCACAACCCATGGATTTTTGCTGTTTGGCCAATGGCTCGAAGCAGTGAGGCGCAAAGCCTCCTTACTTCTTAGACTTCCGACATTTGATCAGCAGACCCGATATGTTTAACTGCAAGGAAACCTAAAGTATATTTAAAAATAATCACGTCTTTGACCTGTGTTACGAGTTCCTGAGATGCCATGCAGTTTGTACTGTTTGACCTGTCTTCAAAGAGTCCCAACTAAGTTCTTGGAAACTCTAGTGACTGAACTGCTGCAAAAGTGATGAATCAACTACCGAAAGCATTTGGGTGTATGTTCTTCCTTTTGGATCTGAACCCACCACCACGTCCTGCAAGGAACCTCCAGACTGAACAAAGCGGACCAAGCAGGAGAGATGAAAGATTAGAAACATAGTTCGTGGAAACGCCTGGTTTTGTCGACCAACATCCGGGTGGATTACAACATACTCTGCGTGCGTTTGCCATGTTGCCCGCGCCCCAACTGGCAGTGCCATGGATGGCACCGCCTCCGTTCCAAGCTGTTCGTCCTTCGCTGAAACACAGCCGCTGGGGACGTGCCGGCGCGAGCAGCGTGGTTTTTTCAGCGATGGGCCGATGGCTGGTGACGCGAAAGGCAAGAGAGGAGAGCCCCCAGTAGCGTCCTTGCTCCTAGCAGTAAGTCTTGTAGAGGGAATATGAGGAGTCTTGTGGGGTGAGGATGGCCTCCAACCTACTGTAATAGCAGTGGCCTCCAACCTCATAGTAATGGCCTCCACCGAGATGAGGGAATGCTGGGGCGAAGAAATTTTCGGAGTTGCCCAAGATGTTTTCTAGTAGCTTCTTGCTCCTAGTAGCGATACCCTTTGCTCCTAGTAGCGTCCTTGCTCCTACCCCCCGCGCGTCACTTCTAATGAGTTTTAATTGAATGTTGATTGTGTTTATTTCTTGCTTCTAATGGCTTAGCAAACATTGTTCCTAGTAGTAAGGCCAGGAGCCCCTACGGAATGATTGGGATGACATGAGCGGTAAGGGTGCGATTCGTCATCTCATCCGCCTCGTTTCGCACCACTTGCGAGGAGAGAGAGCTCCCAAAGGCGGCCAAGTTGATCCCCGACGAGTTCTTCGCTGAAGGCAGCGAGTTCACAGAAACTTTAGGAGGCCATTGCTTTTAAGATATATTTACCAAAGGAAACTCAATGAGTAGAATTAGAAACGATAAGCTACTAGGAACAAGTGCATCGCTTCTAGTAACAAGTGCCTTACTAGTAGTAACAAGAAGCTATTAGAAGCTATGGAAATGGGTTAGACAAGTACTCCAAGATCTGCGAAACTCGGTGCCCAAGACCGCCAATCCATGAACCATTCATTTTGCTCCTTTGGAGCATACCCATGTGGGAATAGGACTTTGTTTTGTTTGATACTTTCTGGTATATGGTTAGCTGGGACTGAAGTGCCGTGGCAGCAGTGGTGTAGCACAAGGGTTTTTGAAAATCGGTACCCTTGCTACTTACCGGTGTGTCCTGTCTAGGGAAGCACATGAAATATCCAAAACAGGAACTGCCAAGCACACGGTCCAAGGAGAAACCACCCGCTCCCTTTCCAATTCTCAGTCCACATCCACCCCTGTGGAACCTTGGCATGAAGGCCTGTTGTTCTACAGCGGCCGAAACCAACCAGTGATGGGCATTTCCCTTCCTAAACCAGAGGTGATATTACTGCACGCACTTGGAATAGGGCCCTACATTGTTCCTCAAGGAGCACGTCCAACTCACTGGGTGGTTAGCGTGCTCTACTATGTACATCAACCAGTCACCACAGAGGTAACCTTTTGATGACACCAGTTGAACAGTCGACCATCGGCATCTGCAAAAACAGAACGTAGATGTCGCGCACCTTTTGACTCTCAATATATCTGAATAGCGATAGCCTCCACCAGCGATGGCCTCCACCCTAGTAGCGATGGCCTCCACCCTAATAGTGATGGCCTCCACCCTAGTAGCGATGGCCTCCACCCTAGTAGCGATGG